GCAGGAGGGATTTGGCCAGAGGCAGAGCACTGTACGTGGGTGGGTTGGGATGGAGAGGGGGATAGTGGAGGAACACGTTACCCCAGCTCCACTTCCATCCCTGGGTGTGTAAGTGCGCTCCTGGAATCCTCTAACACAGCTCCTCTGCATCCCTCCACGTAAATAGTTATAAAAGAAACGGTGGTTAGTGCTTCCCATTTTTCTGGTTCCCTTCTCAATTTAACTTACCTTGCTGTGGAACAGATCTTTTTAGCTCCCTTGTTTCCTTCTTTGGGAAAGATGGTGTTGTACACAGAAAATAGCAGTGCTGTCACTGTGAGCTCTACAAGGCCTATCATGAAGTTTAACACATTCAGGTTTTGTGTAGCAAAGTTTAAAGTTTTCCTTGGGGCTACAAGGTAATGCTGTGTGTTGGAGCACTGCAGTAGATTTTCATGGGCCTGATCTGGAGTGCAGGACGCCAGATGTGGAGCTCTGTCTGAAGACATTGCTTCGTAGTCCCTCCAGCTCAACACCCTGAATACTTGCCTTGCCTTAGGTGACCCAGTAAAAACTTAAAAATATTTTCTGTGAAGGACGGTGCTCCCTGGAGCTGGAGCATGTGCCGCTTGCCAGCTCGGATGCAAAGCAGCAGCTTAATGCCACCCTGCTGTCCTGGAGTACAAGCCTGCAGGGGGGTGGGAGCACACACCGCAGCACTTGTTGAAATCTGGTGATGAATTCTAGGCGTGACAGATAGTTCTTTCAAAATGAAGGTCTGATCTTTAATAAGTGTTTTTATTTGCATACGCTAAATGCTAGTTTGTTACAGGCGTACTGTATTTCTTATTGAATGGACCTTTTGCTGGGCACTGACATATAGTCCTAGGCAAAAACCAGTTGCTGAAGAAAACTGGTTTTGCTGGAGGGAGTTATAGCAGAAACTCTGGAATGATGTGTGGCTTGCTTTGTGTGGTCTTAGTGTATCAAATACTTCGTAGTTTTTTGAGTTTGCTATGAAAGCATAGCCCATGCTGTTCCAGATCTTTCTCTTGCTCAAATTACAACCTGACTTTTACGGTTTCTTGCAGGCCAGCCCTCCAGATCTCTATATTGAAAGATTTAACGTAGCTCTTGGACAGTATATGGGAGCATTGCAGAGCATTGTGCCTCTTTTCATATATATGGTAAGTTTTAGAAAATTCTTTTCAAATAAAGTATGTCCATACACAAGGTGCTGACTGAAAGTGAAAAGAATAAAATGCAGCTATAATGATTTTTAACTTGTAGAACTTAACGATTCATGCCTGGTTTTGCTACCTACATAACGATACTGATCAAGTTGTGTGGGGAGAGGAAGGGGAAGCCATGCTTTTAAATGTAGAGTTTTGCAATTGGTTTCTGCCCTAGTATTTCTTTCCTGGGAGTGGGGGGAATGGTTTTTATTTTGACTGTAAAAAAGCTTTCCCAAATAGTTAGGTCATTATTTATATTTTTTTCAACAGGGATAGTTTATTGGCTTGTTATATGTTGGCTTGGTAGTTTGGGCACGCTACAAAGATGATTGTTTCTTGCTTTTAAATTGCATAGATTCAGACAAGATGGAAAGAAATGTCTCTTGGAAATGTCTGTGTCACTTGGTAAAGCAATTTAGAGCCTTGACTGGATGAAGACAATATGTTCATAGCATGGTCAGGCATACTTGCAGAGGTTCAGAAACCATTGGCTATAAGTGTTTGTCATGCTGACTTTGTAATTTATGAAGTCTTCTATACCTCTGAAGAAGTTTATAATTTGCATTGTTTTTGTCAAAGTGCCAAGACTTTTATTGTGGGTTTTTTTGTTTTGTTTTGTTTTTTATGGTAACGGATAACTTAAGCTTGAAATTTGCCCTTCTCCCAGAAACCACCGTTGCACTGGCATCACTTAGAAATCAACCCCCCCCCCCCCCCTTTTTTTTTTTTAAGGAAAAAAAGATTTAAACTGATTTTAATTAAATAAACCTCAAACTTTTAAAAATTATCCTCACTGGTAGCTTCCCAGAGTTTTGGAAACAGTATCTTTTAGAAGGATCTCCTATGTTTCAGTGAATGCACCTGAAACCAGGTAATTTGCTGTAGTCTTACAGCATGGTGTCACCATATAGAATTGTTGCATTAAAAGAGGGATTTGCCTTTCTTGAACTGGGTGTCTTCTAATGTAGTCTTTATTTAGTTAATACAGAATGAAGTCCGTTGCTAGAGCTTCATTTGTAAGCTAAGGGATGTGTTCCTGGTCACAATTTTTATTTTTCTCCTGGTTCCTATCATGAAATGCTGGGGAAAAACTAGGAGGAGTTTTCTCCCTATTGCATTCAGATATTTTTAGATGCTAGCCATTTTTTCACCTCTGTGTGCTTGACTTGTTCATTGCAGACAAGTGATTAAGCAATCTCATAATTTAATATCCATTTACAAATGGAGATAAGCTGTTCAGGTGTGTACTTTGATTGGGTGCTCAGATCTGTCACTGAGGTTCTTCCATCACAGAGGTCAAAATCTGTCCTTAACAATTAAGACTGCAGTAACTAACATCTAAAAAATGTTCATGATAGACATATAAACAGACAGGTTTTATCGTTATAAGCTTTGTCTATATGACCAGACAAGGTATAATTGCTGAATAGATTTCTGTATCTTTCTTTGTACACGGGTGTGATGTGGTGTTTGTATCCTCAAATGAGGAGCGCTCTGTATTCCTTCGTTTCTTTTTTTTTTTTAGAGTTTTAGTCTAACTGATATCTGAACATAGTAAAAATGGTTAATAAGTAATAAACAGACCTGTAAAATGAATAGTTAGATAGTAATTTTTTTTTATTTGAAAACAAAGAAAAGTGAAAATACTTATCATTTTAAAGGAGAAGCTTCTTTGAAGCATGACTAGTGATTTGTTCAGGCAGTAAAACTCTGTTCCTGCAAACCTTTTCTCATTTAAGTGATTAATTCAAGTTAGGCCTGAGAGTTAGTGACTTATGTGTTAGTTCCTCTTGCTGCCAAACATAATGCTGATTTGGCTCAGCTATATAGCTGGTTTTGAAGGCTAATGTAAAATTAAGTCTCATACTTTTTCGCAGAAATCATTTATTGATCAGTGTTGTGCATGATGTGCAAAATATCTCTAGGGAAGTCAGGATGAAAAATGTTTTCCTCTCTTAGTTTTTTCGCTATGCATTTGGAAGTACTTTTATGTACAGCCACTCCTGCAATTTTACATTGTAGCATCTAATCAAGTTTTCTCTCATACAGCAGCAGCAGTTTCCTTTACTTAGAGAAGAAAATACAATTAAAAAACAAATGCAAGAGATGAAAGCCTAATTATTCTACAGTATAAATTAGAGCTTTGTAGTTACTTTAATAGATACTTTCAATGTATTTTTAAGTGAAGACGACTAAGTTGTTGAACTCTGCCTTTTTATCAGAGATGGCAGGGCTTTCCTTTTTTTGGTAGTGATGCAACTGCTTTAATCAGGAGTTTGCAAAGCTGTTGAGTTGCACTGATAAACTTTGTTCTCAAAGGATAATTATATTGCTGCTTAGGAAAACTTTTAATATGCATTTAAATATTTAAAGAATCTATGAAGCCAAGGAAAACCTAAAGGTTTTTTGTACAACTGGGACATGGTTTGTCCCTTGGTGGCCAAAAAAGGCATAGTATTTTGCCCTAAGCTTAGTCCTGTGTGTTTTGATATCAACAGCAGCACTTTTCTGCTTTTTTGTGGTATGTACCAAACCATATTCTTGTGTGTGAATGGTGGGAATACAGGGAAGGCGTTTTCTTAACCTGCTCGTATGTGGTGACCAAGGTGTGTTTCAAAGCTTATCTTAAGTGATGGTTGAGAGGGCTGACTTTGCAATTGAGAGAGGGGTTCTTTTTCCTTCTTTTGCTAGGAGCACTAGCCATTTTCTTTTTCACATGGTGATGGATTTTTTTCAGTCTTATGCTGCTACAGTGGACTTTCCAAGAAAGCATGGAGGCCCAAAGCACTTTTGTCCCTCCAAAATTCTGTGGGTTTAAGCTCCTTCAAAAGTTCCGGGATGTAACCGCAGATAAAGCGAATTAATTTGGAAGTCAGCTTAGCACACAGTACTTTATTCCTAAGAATGATTCCTAGTGAATTCCTGGTTGTTTTGTAAATATAAATGAAGTTAATCAGTATGCTTACAGATGGTACATATCACAGTATGCTGCACGCGTGAATGAATAAAAATCATATTTCCACTTCAAGAAAAATTAAAATCGGCATTTAGATGATATACTTTTTTATAATAGGTTCTCAATTGTTAATTATACTTAGAGATGTAGATGAAAATCATTTATCTTGTGGCATGTAAATGAGCCTAACATTTGTGAGCACTGTGGTTTTAGGGTAGTTCAGAATTTTTTCATTGCCTCTAAAATATTACTATTCTTGCTGGGTGGTATTGCACTTCATTGCTTATCAGCTAGAGGGCATTTGATGTGTGTCTGTATACGCAAATATATGTGAGTATATGTATATGTGGATGAGATGATAAGCACTCTTATATACTGTTTTTTCCTCTTTCAAGTATTTATTGATCTCTTCCTAATAACACAACTATGTCTTTTAACATTTGCCAGATCGCTTTATGTTATGGGGTTTTGTAGAAGAAATGCTTATATCATATCTGACTTTCTCAGTTATTGGTATCTTCTTACCTTTTACCTGTCACTTAGACCCTTAGGTGACTTGACACACTTTTCAAGAAATAATGGTACAGCCTAGGTAGCAACATCTCATACAGAAAATCTTCCTGGTTTTCCACTAACAAGAATGGGGAAGCTGACAGCTCTTCTGCTATCTCCTTTCAGCACTGTGGTTTGGAAATGAAGTACTTATGTTAGGTGATTTTTCATTGTCTATTTAAATCCATGCAAGTGTAACATCTTTTTGGAAAGGTGTTTCCAAGTGAGAAAATGTGAAGAGTATTTTACAGTTGTTCTATGTAGAAGTACTGTGTTGTAGCTCTTCTTGAAACTACTGGGGGGTTTTTTTGTTGCTTTTCTAGTTACGAAATGTAAGGTATAGGCTTTCCAACCCTTAAACAAAAGAAAGCATCACAGTTTGCACATGTCTTTGTCAGCTGCTTTTAATGTAAGAAGGTCTGGAGGCTGGGAAAGGAACAGAGTAAGTTATTTCTTTAGCTGGGTGCATCTCATCTGTCAACTCTTAAGAATCAGTAGTTTGACATTGTCAGGTTTGATTCAGGTCCGTAGGCTTGTGCTGAGATGCGCTTGCACCAGTGGGTACCTGGTAGTGCGTGTCAGGAAGCTCAAGGTGTAAATGGTTTAGGGAGTTAGGTCTGATGAAAGACTGTAGTAGGGTGTGTGTAGCTTAACGCTTCCTAGAAGATGTATATCTTCAGTTGCTGTGAATTTCTGTTGCAATGGCAATTCACCATTGACCAAAAATATTACAGATGAAGTTGGTCTGTTTCTTACAAGACAGGTTATTCTGTCTGCAGAGCCTTTCCCTCAATCTCTGTTCAAAGAACGGGCCCAGGTGAGGGGCAAACAACTGAGTAATAGCGCTTGATAAAACCTTTACAGGTAGGATAGCTTCAGGGACGGAACCAGCAGTACGAAGTTACTAAATTTTTAAAAAAATCTTTTTAAGATTGTTGTCCATCACTGCAACAAACCTAAACTTCACGAGGGGCATATATTCAGCCCTCAGATTGCCTTTGTTCTAACAGGTTCCGTTTTCATTGAAGGTAAATAACTGCTGCTGAATGCTTGCCTTGAAAATTTAAGTGGTTTCTGCATGGACAGTTTATTACAGTACGTGTATAGTTTTGTTAATGGCCAAGAGAATGGGTTTCACAAAAAAAAGGTAAAGATTGTTCTAATCGTATTCTGAGGGTTTATTCCAATTATGCTAAATGCTTTAGTGCATAGGAGAACAACTTGATTTAAACTGTGAAAAAGCTTTCTCCCATAAGATATCCCTTCCTCTAGTAAATCTCTCAGATAAGTGTTCCACTATGTTATTTTTTTAAGTTGATTTTCTATTGCAGTATCTGTTTAACTCTTTTACACAAGTTGTCCAGATGAATTCAATTGTTCTACTTCCATGTTAGTGTTGTAACGATAGGAGATTTATCTTGAAATAATTATTTTTTCCAACATTTAAAACCCACCTATGAATAAAATACAGACAAGAAATCTTACTGTTAATTGCAGGCTGGGAACTTAGCAATAGCACCAAATAGTACATTAGGTATAGAGGCCCTCAAGGAACTCATGAATAGAATTCCTATGAGGGTTGAAGAGGTGAATTTGTTATTAATGCTGAGTGGGTCAAGATAACTGAATCCTAAAAATTTTAATGTAGTTCAGTGTTGTATAGATTTGTATATATCCCTTATTTCCAAAGTTGATTAGTTCTGAGTAGCTATCCTCTGGGATTATCAATGAGCCACAGAAGTGGATAGCTGTACTGATGATTTATTATGGTAACATACCTATTTTAATGGCTTAATCACTTTTAGACATTGGTAAAAATCTTTTCTTTCCTAATAAACATGATGTCCAGCCCTATTTTGGTGTTAGAGCATTTATAAAGTTGTAAAATGAAGTGTTTTTTCTACAAATTCCCCAGTCTGGATTGTTGTGGAGATATATCTGTAGATACAGGAAGAAAAAATATGCATGCCTGTATGTGAGTAGGTTTGTTACCAATAGTACCACATGCATTCTTGATTTTAAATACATGTTTTTTGTTGTACAGGAACATTCTATGTAGTATAAATGCAGTCACCAAGGAAACACTTTACAGGTCAAATATTCTACAGCTTTAAAATTTTGAACTGTTGTTATTCAAGGAAAAAGTAAGTTTACTTTATTTGCTATTATGAAAAACAAACTTGAAAACGTCTGTCTTATTTTCCAGAATAAATTTTACATAGAAACCAAGCTTAACAGAGACTTAAAAGATGACCTTATAAAGCTGTTTACGGAACATGTTGCAGAAAAGCACATTTACAACCTAATGCGTAAGTAAACCTATTGAATTTTTCTTATAATGGGAGTCTGGAAAACCGCAGTGCTTTCAGATATTGCAGAAATCCACAGCAAATAGGGAGAAAATGATAAATGATCAGTGACCTTAAATACAAATTCCTTTTTAAGGCATCCACATGAAGAAATGTGGCACACATCAACTTTTTAATGATCAGTGACCTTAAATACAAATTCCTTTTTAAGGCATCCACATGAAGAAATGTGGCACACATCAACTTTTTTTTTTTTTTCCAAAAATATGGCTTTGTATGAAGTCATGGTTTTCTTGAGTGTCTGGGGGAACCAATATATATTTTCCCGTATGACTTGTGATTATGACATAATGAATGTTTTATTGTCCTGTTGCTTATGCTGCTACTCTTTAATTTCATTATCAAAATATTGACAGGTATCATTAAGAATGTGCTGTGGTCAAAGAACTGTGATACCACTGGGGTTATTGTGATGGTGTACTTGAGTACTCCCTGCTAGGGACAGCGGTTTCTCTGTTAAGCTAATAGGCTTGAAGTGATATGCGTCCTGTTAAGTGCTCCTGTGGGCACCTCCTGTGAACTGCTGACTTTGCAACCTGCCACCATCAGTGTGCATTTGTGTGAGCATAGGGACCTTGCTGCTGGCCTGGTTAGCTCCTTGAGAGGGGAGTTAGCAAAGGCAGAGATAATCGGACTTGGAGTTCAAATTGGAAAAGTTTCCGCGGTGATGAGCAGCTGACCGATGTGCTCGGAGAATTGCATTTGTAGGTGCTTTGTGCAACTGGATAGTTCCTGTGCCCCGTGTTGAGTTTGGTGTCTAGCCTGGTGTACTCCTTTCTGTGACCCAGCCCTACTGCAGTGTCTCCGTTTTCATCTAGCTGCTCCGTCCTCTTTTCTCTGAAGCAATTGCTATCTGTATGCTAAATGGAGACCAAATGATGGGCGATTAGAGTAGAGTATATTTCTCCTTTTGCCTTTACTTGGGTAGTAATGCCCTTCTCTCTCTGACGAAGGGCTGGGGGAAAGGAGCTTTGCTACGTTTTTCAGGGTCACTGTGAGTTGGCATCCTGGGAGAACGGTGGGTGAACAAGGTGACTACCCTGAGGTCAGGGAGCCTGGTACCCTAGAATGATGGGAGATCATCAGCTCTGATGCCATCTTGTTCTTGCCATTTGGAAAAGTCTCTCTAAGAAGAGCTTTTAGCCATGTAGCAGATCAGATCGCCTTGGAAATAGCAGGATGATGAGGAATGCCTACCTATGGAGCTGATGTTTTATTTTGTGCCAGAGCGGTTTAATGGTATCATGAAACCTGGTAAGATGATTGCCGCAATAGGATCATGGAAAATACAGCTGATATTGCTTTAAAATTAAATACCTTTAATTTTAAGTGTACGCATTTTTCAGGCAATGAAAACGTGTTTTTTTTTTTTTTTTCAATGACAAAGTAAAGGTAACACCAGTAAATTCTTTAGAATGTAAATAATATCAGATGTGTGTTGCAATGTAATTAGTTTTCTGTGGATGATAATATGAGAAGTAAATAGAAATTGCAGATGAGCTATTAAAAGGAAAAGATTTGTGGCTCTGTGTGTGTGTGAAGTCTGAAATACTTCTCCCCAGCTCTGTGTTAGTTGCAGAAGTAAAATTAAAAGAAAACATTGACAAATAAAAATAAGCTGTCACTGACTGTGTAGCTGTATATGGGGCCTATTGTTTAATGAGCAACTTCCTTGGATGTCATTTCAGTCTCACTGTCAGTTTATCAAAACTCAGTTATTTAGTTTTTAGCGTACTTCTAAGTAAGATAATATATACTGACATGTATAAACTCCTAACTGTGATCTGACTTGGTTAACTCTTGGATAACAGGATCTTTAAATTGAGTTACAGTATGCCTAAATAAAATTCTAAACTTGCTAACAGATTCCTGGGAAATAATTGAAGACACACAGCACATGATACAGTACTGTAGAAGTGCTGAAAAAGTTCGTGTTGTATTATTTTCTGCCATTCTCAGCTGTTCTTTCTAGCTTGCTGAAATTCACACCATAATAGCTAAAAATATTACCTTCATTTTTGGAAGTGTAAGAGCCCTATGAAAATAGGATATAAGTCGGTGTTAATTACTTTACTTCCCGGTGTCATTGTCAGTGTGTGGTACTGTCTCCTGATATTTGATGTAGATTTGGTTCAACAGAAAAGTGGTTTTGGATTACGAAGGGGGAAAACAATAAGGTTTTGAGTGGGTGTGCTTAGGAAATTAAAGTCAATGAAATTGTGGTCTATATAGAGAAATGGAATCCTGGGGCTGTTTTAAAGAGATGCTGCAGCTGCCACTTCAGTGAGTAGAAGCATGCCTTCTCTCTATTTTAAAAAACAAACAACAAAATCAGTTTAATCAGTTTGTGATCTAGACTCAGAGGACAAGAATAACATCTGCTCTTGCTCTTGAAATTTGTTGCTATGTTTTGCGTACGAAGGGGCTTTTGTTTGTAGTATCTTGTCATTCTATCAGAGCCTGGAAGCTGGCATTTCTATTTGAAGTTGTGTTCAGGAAGGACTGTAAGTACATTTCAGGTTCATTTGATTTAAGAAGTAGTTCCTGTTCCACTTCAAAAGATGGGGAAAAAAAAATGTCAGAAAAGCAGTGCAGCACGGATCTCTTCCTCAGCGTTTGATCATGCTCCGACTCCCACTGGTTAAGTCAGCCCTAGTCCCTGTGCTGTGTGGTTGAAGGCAGAAGATACAAAATGAACTCCTGGTACAATGGCCTCTGTGGTGGGAGCACTTATCTAGCACTTAGTTGCAGAAAATAGTGATTAAGGTGTGAATTCATTATTTACAGAAGAAATATCACCTAAGTGAACTTGGACAAATTTTGGCTGTGCAAACACTGATTTTGTTCCTTTTTTTTGATAGAAGAAATGCTTAACAAAAAAACCCCTCCAATATCTAGAGTACTTCTGAGCAGTTAAAGTAAATACATAAAAAATATATAATGTACAGATCCATGAACACAGTTGTGTTTGTGAAACACTTTTACACATATTTATCAAGTCAATGCTCTTCAAATTAAAGTGGATACATTTGAACTAAGTGAATATAACCTGATTATTTTCCTTACAAAGCCAAAGCTGGTTCTTGCTGATAAGACTGCTGTATTAAAGGACTTGGTAGAAGTTGCTATGTGCAGAACTACTTAACTGAAGGTAACAAGCAAAGATACAGCATCTTATTTATGAGAAGCTTCAGAAATGAGGGGGGAAGGTGCAGGTAATATCCCCTTGTCACTAGGGAAGGGGTGGTGGAGAATGTTGTCTTTGTTCCTCTTGGAGTCCTGCATGAGATGACTTGTAAGCAGTAAAATTCAGAAATACGTGGTTTTTCTCCTTCTGCAGCCACTGTCTCTTCTGGTAGGTTAGACCTGGGTTTCCTGGACTGTAATCTCAGTGCCCTGGTGAAAATGCTGTAATGAAAATGCGATAATTTTCACCCCATGGTGAACATATAATCTCAATCCTGCCTGTTTGTTCTTGTGTCTAGAAGAATGGCAATTATTGCAAAGTTTGACTGTCTTCAGTGGTGAAAATGAGTAACAGCTCCTGAAACTCTCTACTTTTAGTACTTGCAGTAGGTAAAATTCAATGGCAGAGAGTATTTGCAAGTAACTGCTATTCTTCTCTTTTTTTGATATCGGCCCCTTAGTGCCCCAAACAAGGTTGCTTTTAAATCTGACAAAAGAGAAAAGCTATTAACAGTGTACTGTTGTCTCTGCTTGGTGGATAGATCACTTGGTTTCCAATTACAAAAGTTTGCAATTACCCCTGTTCTCTTTCCAGAAACTAAAGAAAGAAAGGTGAGCACTAGGCTGGAGTCCTGCTCTGGGAGGGTTGATGAAGTTCTCAGCATCTCGATATTGAGAAGAAAAGTAGCAATCCGTTAAACTGGTCATGAAGGTGAAAGTGGTTTTAGAAGGCAATCTGAGGAAAAGAATTCTCCTTATTCCTTGCTTACGACGGTGTTTGTGGTGGAAGTAGGATGTATCAGATTGGCTACGGCACTTCCAAATAAGCAGTAGCCTTAGCATATCACTGTAGCACTTAACGCCATTTCTGTCTCTGTGTGTGAGCTGCTTCTTTCTTTCCATGATAGTATTTTGAGTTCAGGAAGTGGTTTCTACTCTTGCAGGAGGGATGTACTGGTAGGTGTCATTCCGTACAAGCTGGTCCTTTCCAAAGAAGCACCTGCCTGTACTTCTGGACAAAAGTTCCTCAACTAGGAAGTCAAGTGACCTCTGTCAGAGGGAAAACTGCTTTCCTCAACACTTCTGATTTTGTTCCTATTGACTGGGGTAAGCGATAGATGTTTGCGTGTTCCCATCTTTGATCTAATCTCTCAGGAATAGATCATAGAAACAGGTCCTTTTCATCCAGAGGAAAGGAAACCTCTTGGACCATGGTGAAAATGCTATAGAATAAATAGGGCCCAGGACTTCATGGGTCTTAAAATTGTTATGAGGATCCAAGGGGATAATATGGCTTGTGAATGAGGCAATTCCCTGAAATGTACTGATTCAGAACCAGAGCGTGGGCTTGAAAACACATGAAATTTAAGCAAAATTATTATTGAGGGTTAAAGCATTAGATCTCCACGTCTGGCTGTTTTAGTTTTTTGTTCATGATATATATCAAGATAATTACAGATTAGGTACTGGAACCTGAGGATACAAAGCAGTTCTCTGTATGTAGTTTCTAATAGCATGTAGGCAGTTGTTGAATGTAGTTCTCCATGTTAGTGCTTGTGCGAGTTCGGAACTAAAAGCCAGCGTAAAAATGTATCCCATGTATTCACCAAAAGTAGCAGCTTTTCTCGTGGTTTTCCAAGAAAAAAATCTTTGTATAAAGTCTGGAGGAGGGGGAGGAATCGCAGCCTGTTTCGTTATGTTTGCAGTTTCTCATTAGTTACTGGGAAAAACTTTTCTCTGAAGATTCTTACATA